AGTCGGCACAACTGTCCTTGCACCTTAAGAACCACAAACTGCGTGGCCTTAGGCAAGTCTTTTCACCTCCCTTAGCTTCAGAGTTCTCCTCTGTACAAGGGACACCAGCACCTCCTTCAAAGGTGTCTGTCAGGGGAATGGAGGAGCTCATTGGATGAGCAGCAGGAGACCCGCAGGTTCATGCTCGCTGGCTGAGTAGCTGGCCTGGCCCCCAGGAGGTGCTGAACCAAGGTTGCTGCCCGTGGCCAGCCCTCCACATTTGATGGTCTAGAAACTCGCAACGGGCCGTCCTTCCTGCCTCTCCCACAGCAGGTTCTACCATCCAGGCCTCACGTGGGACTGGCCTCTCTGTTTGCGAAAGCAGCGGACGGGGAGCCCAGCCGTCAGCTAGGAGCTCGGCTCTGCCACTTGCCCTCCCCCAAGGCCTCGACCTTCCTCGTCGGGGAGAAGGGGGGCAGAAAGCGCCCCCCCATCTCAACAGCCTGTGCCCCTCACACCAGGTAGTCCTGCATCTCTTCTAAGCCATGAATCTTGTTAGATTTAACAGTCTATTTTTTTTAATTGAGGTAACATTGATTTATGACATTATATAAATTTCAGGTGTACATCATCATATTTCCATTTCTGTGTAGACTGCATCGTGTTCACCACCCGAAGTCTAATTGCCATCCGGCACCGCACACACGTGCCCTTTTGCCCCTTTTGCCCTCCCGCCTCCCACGTCCCCTCTGGTAACCAGCAATTTGTTCTCTTTGTCTGTGTGTTAGTTTATCTTCCACATACGAGTGAAATCATATGGTGTTTGTCTTTTTCTGTCTGACTTATTTCACTTAGCATAATACCCTCAAGGTCCATCCGTCTTGTTGCAAATGGCAAGATTTCATCTTTTTATATGGCTGAGTAGCATCCCATTGTGTATATACCCATCTTCTTTATCCAATCATCCATTGATGGGCACTTAGCTTGTTTCCAAGTCTTGGCTATTGTGAATAATGCTGCAATGAACATAGGGGTTCATATACCTTTTCGAGTGAGTATTTTCGTGTTCTTTGTATGAATACCCAGAAGTGGGACAGCTGGACCATACAGTAAGTCCTCTGTCTCCTCTAAGCCGTGGATCTTGTTAAATCTTACAGCGTTTTAAAGAGAATGCCAGGAAATGGTGTGGAGGACCTTAGGCTTCCTTGCCCATCCATTCCCTCCCTCCTTCTTCCTTCCCTCAACAGTGACGCCGGGTCCTGCCCCACGCTGGGAGCTGGGATCACACAGCTGCGTGGGCTGCAGACCACACACTTCAGTGGACCGCCCTGTGTTAGGAGCGGGAGAAATCAGGCATGGCAGAAGGGTGGATGGTAGAGGAGAGACCGGGCCTGGGGGAGTGTTTGCTGATGCCGAGGAGGAAGGGGTCTGGTGGGCCAGGACAGGCAGGAAGAAGCCGCAGGGCAACTCCCAGGTGGTTTCTGGCTTGGCTGCGTGGGTACCGGTGCTGCCTGCCCTTAGGCGAGAAGGGAACCCTGCAGAACAGCACAGGGGGATTGGGAGATGACCTGGGGTTGGGACGTGTTGAATCTCAGAAAAAAGGGTTGCCCAGTTGTCAGTTTGTGCGCTGTTCACACAGAAGCCTCCAGGATCCGGCTTGGGTTGGCCCTGGACAGGGCTTGTGAGCAGCAGCCTCGTTCTTTCTCTACTTAGGCCCTTTCGGCTGGGAGTCCTGTCCAGGCTGCCAGGCCTGCAGCCCCACAGGCCCTGGGCGCTCTGCAACACTCAGCCCCCCCCCCAACTCCATGCCTGCTAGGAGCTTCCCCAAAGGCCCTGGGAGGCAGGGCAGCCCACCCTGCTGGGCAGCTGCCCGCCCGGCTAGCAGCCCTCCTCACTGGGCCGTCTGCCTAACCGCACCGCCCAGCAGAACCACCCAGACGAATCCATTAGTTCAGCTACCTCAGCGGAGGCGAGTGTCCTCGTCTGGCTTGAGTTACGCAGATGGAGAGTTTCACAGTCATACCCAGCAGTGACCATCAGAAACCCGTGGTGCTGCTTTAGCTTTCAGATCCAGGAAGATCCTGGCTGACTCTCCCACACATGGGCCACTCCTGCCTTACCTCACGCCTCAGCCTGGGGCCCAGGACAAGTCGCCTTGCCGAGCCGATCACAGGTTTCTGTGGCCTGGTGGAAGCCTAGACGCCAGGGACTGGCGCACTGGCCTCATGAGTGAAAGCTGGGCCTTTTTCCTCCTACCACCAGGGAAGCGTCATGCCGTGTGTGCCAGTGGGTTCCTGTTCCCACACCCTTGCTCACCCTGAAGACCAACTTGCCCAGAGGGGAGAAAACGCTGGACACCTGTGCTCCCAGGCTCTGTCAGCCCACAGGAGCTGGGGAGGAGATCAGGACGTGTGCTTTGGCCATGACGGGCCTGAGGTGTTGGTGGGACACCCACGTGGAGATGTCAGGTTGACCACTGGCCAAGAAGCATGGGTGTCAGAGGCCTCAGCTGAGCTTGTGGACCTGGAGGTGCTCCCTAGGCTATAAATGCCTCCCCAGTCGGAGGAGCTATTGTCTGCTATGCGATCAGAATCTCGGCCTTACCAAGTCAACACGCCCCAGGCGATGCCGGCATGAAACTCAAGGTCTGTGTCTGGTCTCAGGGAAAATCAAGGGCTGTGTGACTGGTGCGAATTTCTGCTCTCAGAGCTCAGATGTGCATCACTTACATGGTCAAGTGATCTTCGACAAGGCGCCAAGGCTACACAATGGGGAAAGGACAGCCTCTTCAACCAATGATACTGGGGAGACTGGACATCCACGTGCAAAAGAATGAAGTTGGACCCTTGCTTTACACCATGTACAAAAATTAACACAAAGGGTTAAAAAAGCAACAAAAGTAAAAATAGACAAACTGGAATACATCAGACTTAACTTCTGTGCAGTAGAGGAAACAATCAACAGAGTAAAAAGGCAACCTACAGAGTGGGGGAAAATGTTTGCAAACCATGTACCTGATAAGGGGTTAATATCCAGAATATATAAAGAACGCCTATAACTCAACAATGACAAAAATCCAATTAAAAAATGAACAAAGTACTTGAATAGACATTTCTCCAAAGAAGATATACAAATGGCCAACAGGTATATGAAAAGATGCTCAGCATCTCTAATTATGAAGGAAATGCAAATCCAAATCATGGTGAAATATAGCCTCATACCCATTGTGATGACCACCATAAAAAAAAACCAGAAAATAAAAAGTGTGGGGGAGAGTGTGGAGAAATTGAAACCTTTGTGCACTGTTGGTAGAAATGTAAAGTGGTATAGACACTATGGAAAACATACAAAATAGAGGAAGATGGGCACAGATGTTAGCTCAGGGCCAATCTTCCTCACCAAAAAATTAATTAATTAATTAATTAATTAATTAATTAAAAATTGGCTACTATGGTAAATTTTGTGTTATGTGTTTTTGAGCGCAATTAAAAACAATTTTAATAACAAATTCAGGAATGCAAGAAATAGCGTGTTTCTCCTTTTAAAATTTCGTTTAACTGTCCTCAGCTGGAGACCCCAGTCCACAGAGCAGAAATTCATCATCGCCTCATCCCCTGGCCTGCACAGGTGTCAGGGTCTGGCCCCGCGCAGAGGGCCCTCCCCATCCTGGCAAATCTCTTCTCTCTCTTTTTCTCAAAGGCCCTCCGTCCTCTCCATCCAGGACCCCTCCTTAACAAACGCACCGCTCCCCCGGGGCTGCTGCAGCTTTTCTGCTCTTTCCTGGTCCCTGGGCCAGGGGCGCACAGCTGGGCCTCACAAGAAGGAAAAAGGGAAACACACATCACACGAAGTTTTCAGTAAACATCCTGCCTTGGACATGAGTCATGGCCAGTCTCTGCCTCTCCTCTGCGGTCGTCCTTGGGATTTTGAGGGGTTTTGAGATTGACTTTCACAGGAAAGAGCAGTGCCTTGCAATAGTCACAGCCTGGGGCTCTCCTGCCCCAGGGCCCAACCGACCCTGGGGGGCACGAAGGAGGGGGAGGTGCCATCGCAATCCAGGACACACAACTTCACTTCGCAGACCTTTTCCTCTGGCACCTGAGAAAAGGGAAAGGAGAATCGGGGACAGTTCAACTAAGAAGGTGTGGAACCTGGGGGGGCGGGGAGGGGGGCAGGGCGGAAGACGGAGGGGCATCAGGGATGTTTGCAGGGAGCTCCAGGAGAGGCCCCAGGACGTGAGGGTGGGACCAGGGAGTGCTGGCTGGCTCTGGCCCTCCCCTCCGGGGGTGGGTGAGGTGAGCTGTGCGCTGGGCCCAGGCCCCCTCCTCCAGCATCACAGTCATGTGGTCTTGGGGACTGACATAGGCAGAGGCAGGAGGTCTGCATCGTAAATTCAGAAAGGCTCCAAACCTGTGCACAGAGGACTAGACCCTGAAAGAGCGTGCGTTGGCATGCTCGCCGGCTGCAGTAAACCGTGCATGGGACACCCGGAAGGGCTCCCTCGAGCGCGGACGGGAGGGGCTGGAGGCCCAGCAAGAAAGGAAGGCGGTAGATGGACAGGATGTGCCTTTGAAATGCCCTCAGAGTGTCTTCGTGTGGTGTGTTCTCTCCGTTGTTTTAGTTCAGTGACTATTAAAAAGCTTTTGTCAGGGCTTTCATAAGATAACTCCTGCCCTCAGCCTTATTTTTCTCATAAATCTGAAGCTTCTCAGCTGCAAACTCTTCTGCCTCAAGAGTTTCCAGGTAGTGAATCTTTTTGATTGGGGAAGCACTCGTGAATGAAGAAGTGAGCAGATAATGGAGTAACTGAATGAGTGAGTGAGGGGAGAATGCAGAGGAGCAGGGGCGAGGGAGGGCAGGAGACGGGGTTTCTCCCCATGCCTCTCCCCTCCTCTAGCCAGCGGGGTGGTGAGCAGGCTGCCCCCAGGATGCTGTGCTGGGTGGGGGGCCGACAGCAGGCAGGCTGCGCCCAAGCCCACTGGCTCCCCTTCTCAACGCGCCTATCCTTGTTTCCTGTCTAGGCCCCCCTGGACGGCGTGGCAAGCCTGGAAGAAGAGGCGATCCTGGTGAGTCCCAGGTTTTCTCAGTTCCTAAACCTAAGCCTGGAAGTCTGCCCTTGACCTGGGGCCTGGCTGGGGGTGCCAGTCCCTGTACCACCCCATAACGCAGGACCCTCCTCCCCAGGCCAGTCTTCCTCTCCCTTCCAATTCCAACCGCTGTCCCTGGAGCCACAGTGCCCAGAACTGCCCTTCTTCGCTTCCTGACATCCACAATTCCAGTGGCAGTCGCCTCTCTGCCCTTGGCCACCCCCCGAACCTCACTGTCAGCCTGGAAGGTCACTGCCTGGTCTCCCACCTGAAACAGCCTCCTCTCTCTCTGGGAATTGATGGTGATTCCCCCGCCCACAGTCTCTACCACGGGTCCCTCAACACAACGTGACACTTCTCTGGTGTCGCCAGAGTTGGCCTGTCCTTCCCTTGGCAGAGCCACCAGAGACTGTTCGCTCCCTCCCGTATGGCTGCAGACTCACCTGGAGTTGGCGCCACTCTCCCTCCTGCCATCTTCGTTCCACCCAAATGCGCTCCGTCTGTACATCCCCTGCCCCGACTCTCCGGGAAGCTTCCCTAAGAGGCGTCCACACACCTGCCCCGACCCCAGCTCCTCCACCTTGCCTCCCCTTCAACCCAGCCCCTCCAGTCTCTTTTTGCTGTCACTCCACTGACATCATGTTGGCCAAAGTTACGGCTGGCCTCCTCATGGAGGAGACACTTTCTGTCTTTATCTTCCTTGACCCGCGCTGTTGGCCACTCCCCTCGGTATTCCCAGCCCAGCTCTGGCCTGCGTTTCCTCCCACGTCTCTGACCCCTGCTTCTTTGCCTTTTCTGTAGGACCCCAGCTGCCTCTTAAATGAATCTGCCCTTGACCCTTCTCTCCTTTCTCCCACCCTTGTGGCTTCAGCTCCCCCGTGATTCTGACAACGCCCCCCTCCCTGCCTCCAGCCAAGTGGCCTCCTCTGGGCTCAGAGGTTGGACATTGCACTACTGAACCCAGCACCTCCCCCAACCTGCTCTCCTCCAGCTCCCCATCGCAGGGAGGTCGCCTCTGGCCACCCGCTCCCCCGTGCAGACACCTGGGCATCATCCTCCATCCCTCCCTTCACCGTGCCCACGCCAAGTCCCAGTGAGTCTCCTCCTCGTTGTGTCTTGGACCATGCCCCCTTCTCTGTCCTCACCACTCCTCATACCATGTCCCCCACCTCCAGCCTCGCCATGGGTGTCCAGGGCCCTCCCACTCTAACCCTGCACCCTTACGTCCTCCCCTGCACAGATGTCTTCTTCTCTACCTGGACTCTTACCCCAAGTTCATTACTCTTTGTCCTTCAAGTCTAGCTCAAGCATCTCCTCCAAAAAGCCTGCTCTAACCTCCCTGTCTGGGGCTATCACACAGAGCAGGCCCCGGGAACGTAATGCACAGAACAGTGAATGAATGAATGAATGAATGCACGCATGCTCAGCCCCTAAGCAACTCCACAAGGAGGGCATGGTGGTCATGCCAGAGGGGCCCACCATCAGGACCTCAGGCCAGTTGGGCCCAGGGAGAGCAGGGCTGGTTCTCTCTCAACCTCAGACTCCTCCCTGGCTCTGGGCATGGGCTTCTCACCCCTGTTGTGCTGCATGCTTGCCTCCTCTGGTTCGTCATGAAGAGGCCCTCCAGATAAACACCCTCGAGTTCAGTGGTAGGAAGCGCCCTTTATGGTTCTCAGTTGGCTTTGACTTCTAGGAGCTGAAGGCTGTTATGTGTTTGATTGCCATGGATTTTGTGCGTAATCATCAGCACCCGACCCCACACCACCAGCCCGCCAAATGCACATGTCACCACTCAGTTCTCCTTTCTGTCCTCGTAAAAGCTTTTACTGCCCTTTATTGTAAGCTCCCGACATCCTTTTTAGAAGGAGATAAGAACTAGATAGTGACTTTTTTTTAGGACAAAGTATAATATTATTCAACTTACTCAAAAACCCATTCAAATTATGACTCCAGTTTACAAGAATCTAAAAGTCAAAGAAAGACAAGGACTTACAGGACCCCTGACACTGCGCCGGGTCTTTTCAGGTCCTTCATCTCATGGGATCCTCACAGAGCCCTGCAAAGATATGAATATGTAATTATCTCCATTTTGCAGATAAGGAAACTGAGGCTGCAAGGGAAGAAGGGCCTTATCTAAGGTCAGCTGCCAGCACAGGGTGAGCAGCACCTCCTCCCTTCGCTGGCCTTTCCCAGCCGTGTCCTGATTCTCTGCCTGTCAGAGAACTGTGAGCGGCACAGAGCAGATGTCCCTCTCTGATTAGCTTTGGCCAGGCCTCGTGTTTATTTCAAGATAGTTTCACAGCCATGGACATCCTGGCTCTGACGCCTTCCATTGTACAAACCAGAGCTTCTCCTGTGCCCCAGGGAGAAAGCCTCTTTTTGCCAGTGGGACAGTGTCTGGCTGAGACGCCTTCCTGCTGCAGAGCTGACCCGCCCGCCTTGGGGAGAGGTCCTCTCTCACTCCCAGTGGGAGCCTTTGCCTGGAAGACGCCTCCGTGGCCCTGCAATTTTTATGCATCTCCACTGTAATGGAATGGATTTCTCACCTCCCCCGGCCCACTTCTCAGCTAGGGAAGCCCAGCACTGCCCTTGGACTCTGGTGTCCTCTTTCTGGGAAACTTAGGCAGGATCCTTTCCCCTTCTAGAACCTCCTTTCCCCGAGGGTGTTCGTCACTCTCCTCACCTCCCCCAGCCTCCCTCTGTGCCCACGCTTCCCGCGCCTGGCTGTGGCTGTCTCCTCTGCAGACTTGTCCTTCTCCACCAGAGCACTGTCCTCTCAGGGCAGGGGCTGGGCCCCAGGCCCTCAGGAGACAGTCAATCACTGCTTGCTGACAGGAAGAGGGGAGGAAAGGGAGGAGGGAGAGAGAGAGAGACTGGTGGGCAAATGCAGGGTGAGGCTTAGGAGGTGGGAAGAGACAAGGATGAGGTGCTCACATGCTGCGTGGCTGATGCCTGTGCCAAACCTGCAGAGACAGACAGAGGTGCCCGCCAGCCCTCCACAGCTGCAGCCCTAGACCAGCAGCCTCAGTGCTAAGTGTTCTATCCACCCCGGCTCCAAGACACCCTTTCTGAAAATGCAGTGGAAGAAGCACTTCTGGAATGGTGGAGTAAGGACCTCTGAAAATCCACTCCTCCATAAAAGCAGCAAGAAGACTAGGAAAAATCTACCTTTTCAGGACCACGGAGATTAATGAAAGACTTGCAACAACCCAAGAAACGTTTATTCAAGAAAAACATATGAATCTTGCTAAAAAACAGTGAGATCTGTAGTATTTTAACCTGCCCATCTCCTGAGCCCCGTAGTACCCTTAAAAACCATCAGCCTTGCAATCACAGTACCTGTGAAAAGTAGCAGCCACTGGAGGATTGAAGCTCCCAAGTGCTCATTCTCAGAGAATTGCCACTGTTTGACCGTCAGGCAGCTCCCTGGAAAAGAGCGTGCACGTGACTTGTCTTTATTTGACCTGACGCAGAGCCGCTCACTCTCATCTCCAGAGAGCTTGCTAAAAACGCCCAGCAACAATGGTTTAACATTGCAACTGCCTGTGGTGGTGATACCAGTGGGAGCAAGCAAAAACTTAAATGAAAATCTAAGGGATGAGCTGTCCAAGGGGGCTTTGAAAAGCTCCAGCATGTTCCCGGGGATCTAGAAGGCACATGGATGTGCAGGGCTCTGTGCGTGTCCAGGAAAGGCTTCAGTCTCTCACCTCTGGCTGGTCTGCTCAAGCAGGGCAACAAAGGCGACAGCAGAGATGCAGCCTGGCCGAGCACTGAAGCTGTGCTCCAACATACACAGGGGCCCTCAGCACAGCGCAGGAGGCTCGTTGATCAAGGGGTTAAAGGAGACTCTGCCTAGGCTGACCATTAAGTGAACCCAGCAGAGAATTCAGTAGCTGCACATGACAAAGAAGACACGCTTTAGAGAATTAGTCCAGGAAAGCCTCTAAACAAACGAAGAGCAGCAGTAACAAAAACAACAACAAATCCTGAAAACGAGGAGCAAAATCTAATTTCCATAGTGACCACATGAAATTACTTTAAATGCCCAGTCTTTAACAAAAAATTGTGAGATACACAAAGATGTAAGAAAGTATGGCAATAAAAAAGGGGAAAAAGCAGTCGATGGAAACTGCCCGGGTGGACTTACTAGGCAAAGATTTTATATTTGCTGTTTTGAGTATGTTCAAAGAACTAAAGGAAGCCGAAGCTAAAGAATTAAAGGGAAGCACAAGAATTATATGTCACCAAATGGAGAATATCAGTAGAGAGATAGAAATATTTAAAAAGAACCAAATAGAAATTCTGGAGCTATAAAGGATAACAACTGAAGTGAAAAATTCACTAAAGGGGCTCACCAGTAGATTTGGGCTGGCAGAAGAAAGAATTAGCAAACTTGAAGATAGGTCAATTGCGATTATCCAGTCTAAGGAAGAAAGAAAAGAGAATGAAGGAAAATGAACAGAGTCTCAGAGACCTGGGGAGCACTATCAAGTGTGCCAACATACACACAATGTGGCCCAGGAGGGCAGAAGGAAGAGAAGGAGAAATGTACAAAGAGATAGTGGCCAAAACCTTCCCAAATTTAAAGAAAAATTTTAATCTACACATCCAAGAAGCTCACCAATCTCCAAAAAGGACAAAGTCAAAGAGACTGACACTTAAGCATATCATAGCCACATTGCCAAAAGTGAAAAATGAAAAGAGGCTCTTGAAAGCAGCAAGAGAATAATGATCATCATAGAAAAGGGATCCTCAGTAAGACTGACAGCTTATTTCTCATCCGAAACCATGAAAACCAAAAGGCAGCGGGATGATATATCCAAAGTGATGAAGGGAAGAAAACTGTCAACAAGGAAATCTATAGCTACCAAAACTGTCCTTGAAAAATGAAGGGAAAATTAAGACATCCCCAGATAAACAAAAATGGAGAGAATTCATCACTGTAAGACCTGACCTACAAGAAATACTAAAGGGATTCC